TCCTTGTTTTCCATTAATGGCTTCGAGAGGTATGCTGGACTATTAGCAGTGCTCTCGGCAAGTGCTCTTGGTAATTTCTTTAACGATATGTACTTTTGAAATATTAGAGGTCAATCATCTTCTGGGTACGATCAAATATGTCGACAAGCATGCAACCACGGCTTAATCCAACTTTGTCGATGCTTCTTTTTCAATTTGTGATCTCGCTCATTATGCAACAAATTTCTTGCTTACGATCACTCTGTTCTTTCCTTTGATTGCTTTATTCTCTTTGCTATTAAATTCTCATTCTTAATAACCATACTCTTTCATTATTTCTACTGAGTTTGCTTCTTAATCTCCTTTACTGCTTCGACAATTAATTCTTAACACTCAAAGCTATTACCAGTCCATGGCAGTGACGCCAAAATGTGATTGCTCGTTTTACTTATTTTGAAAGAAATCTCCCAGAATAAACCCCTATAGGAGGATTCGAACACGAGGAATGACTAGTTGCTTAAGCGTTCATGTTAGGGTCACACAATCAATTACCTCCTGAATGTATCGTCTCTATTTCCAATATCTGAACACACAAGGAAACTATAATCTCCTCCTTCACCTTATTAGTCTCTTCCTTACTGCAATTCAGTCATATCAATAACTGCTATTTCTACCAATATATTCACCCTCATAATCTCCAACTGTAATACTACACCCTCATGGCTTTCAGCACACAATTATCCTCATTTCAATCACTGGAATTCTTCACACAGAACTGCCATTCACATTATGGTGTTTCACACAAATACAGACTCATTCTCTCTGTTGAACTACAATCAGATTTCAACATTCAATCTTTCTTCTTCTCAAATAATACCAATCACATTTCCATTCCATAATTCACTTCACAATATTCAGAAACTCTCAATCTTCTTATTCAAAGAAAATAACAAACAAAAAAAAAGAGGTAGCACCAAGCTTACCCCGGCTCACAACTATCATAGCAATGGCCCTCGGCTCATGACTATCACAGTCTGGCACCTTAATTAACTTCTACAATTCCTATATATTTTCCCCTGATTCTCTAGATTCTAACCGTAATTCTATAATTAACCGCTTTTAAGAACTAAATCACTCATTCATCCTCCTGAATTTCCTATTATATGGATTATTTATATATTTTACCAATATCTTTCAAAAATGAATTAATATCTATTCTACACCTATCAATTTACTACAAACATATCTAAAGTCAAATATGCATCTATGAAGCTTCTAAAAGGCTTTGCTACAAGCTAATATTAAATATATTTATATTTATATTCTATTTAATACTTCTTATCCGGATAAATATGTATGTCCAAGACACATTGAATAAGAAAAGACATAATGTTATTTAGAAATATTGTGCTTATATTATAAAGAATCTAGGTGCATTATCAAATATTTTCTAAAAAAATAATGCAATCAAAAATTGTAGAGTATAATTGTTAAAGAGGACAATGTATTAAAAAATAAGTTTTTTCTAGTATAATAAAAATCATGTAGTTAAAATTTTATACAACATCTAGTAAAGTTTATATTATTTCTTTAGATTTTCTACCTTATTTTATAATAGATGTTTATTTAGAACCAAAATATTACAAACCTCTTACTTTGTTAGATTTATAAGCTTTAGACTATTTTATAGACAAAGACTTCATTAAAAAGTAAAAAATAACCTTTTTTAAGAAAACTAAGCCTATACATATAAAAATTATAGATGGTCATTTTTTATCTTTTAGAGATATTATTTATAAAAAAAAAAAAATTAGATGTAATAACTAATAGTTATAATATCTTAGTAATATTTAATATTATTAGATTTATTTCTAATCTAGTCATTTTAGATTTATTATAGCTACAAAAGAATAATCTTTAAATAAACAAGATTTTTTATAATAGCTATTTTTATATCATAATCTATTTTTTTTTATTTAAGAAAAAAATTATAATTATAATATATCTAATTTATAATATCACATCAATTTGTAATAGTAAAAAGACTTTAAGAGGCATTTGAAGTTAGTATAAGAATTATTAAAATATTTTTTAGAAAAAAATTATAAATTTTCTTTTAAAACATTATGCTTATGATTGCTCAAATAATCTTCAAGAAGAAATTTAACTACTACTTAGACAAATTTATAGCTTATTACAAAAGAAATTAGATTCACTCAAAGTGTATATTGAAAAGAACTTGGCTAAGAATTACATATGCCATTCAAATTTTCCAACAAGAGCTTTTATTCTTTTTGTGAAGAAAAAATATAGATCACTATAGATGTATGTAGATTATTAAAGATTTAATAAGATCGCCATTAAAAATAAGTATCTTCTATCTTTGATATCTTGACTTTTTGATTAATTGATTCAAGTATAGATCTACAATCTAATACATATCAAATGAGGAGATAAATGGAAGATTTCATTTTAAATTAAGTATGGAGCTTTTGAATATAATATCATGTCTTTTAAACTTATAAATACACTAATTTCTTTCCAGCATCTTATGAATGATTTTTTTATTTGTTATTTATGTATCTTAATTTATTCAAAGAATGCAAAAGTGTATAAACTTCATATTTATTGTGTATTATAAAAAATCAGAAATACATAAGTATATACCAAGACAAAGAAGTATATATTTTACATACTTAAGTTAACATCTTAGAATACATCATTTTAAATTGATAATATTTCTTTTATTAGTTCAAATATAAAATATTATATTGTCTTATTTAGCTAAAACTTTGAAAAAGGTGACAAACAAACTTGCCATGATCAATTACAAGATCAATTATAAGATCTACAACAAAAAACCTCTTGCAATTCTGCATTCATTTCAAGAATATTGCTTTTATCTAAAAGACACTTATAGCCAAGTGGTTGTTTATATAGATCAGAAGAACCTCACATATTTTATACCTACCTTTAAGCTACTTATATTCAAAAAATTCTATTATCAAATAATCACTAAGTACTAAAAAATATCTTTTTAAAAATAGGATATACAAAAATATTGAGGCACTAAATCTTCAATGATAAAGAATAACTTGCAATTCTCACTCAACAAGACCAAGGAAAAGATCAATCATAACATAATAACTTCATATTCATATATACTATTAGAAGCACCACCTCTCGCTAAAAGCACCATTTATATAAAGATAAAATTTACACTTCAATCTACATTAGAAGATTGTCTCAATTAGATTTTCTTGTAAGTGGTGGTTTTGTTCTTTCTTAAAGTTTAAGATTAGTATTAGTTTTTTGATAATATAAAAATATTCAAGTTTTTAAAGTTTTTATAATTTTTTTTATACTACTCTAAAATTCTATTGAAACCTCTATTTATATAAAGTATTTATGTTTCATGTAAAAAATACAAATCTTTTTTAATAATTTTCATAAATGAATCAAGATTCATTGCTAGTTTTTTAAATTAAGTCATGAATTAATCTTTCCTAATTTCTACTTAATTTTAAGATTTTATAATTCAAACTAAAAAAAAATATATTATTAGGTTTAATAAATGTTTAATGATCTTAAAAATAAAGATGGATATTCCATCACATATCACCATTTTTAATGATTTAATCTCTTTTAAAATATTTTTAAATGTGAATAGTTGTTTGTCAATGAATTCCATTGGAATTGGTCAAATCTTCTTTGATGGTATTTATTTTTATTATATAACAAAGTCTTTATCCAAATATTAATATTAATTAGGATTTAAAAGGTTTTATAAGTTATAAGAGTCTTATAAAATAAAATATTTTCAAAATAGAATATTAGTAAGTCTTAGAGATAATTATTACAATCAATTTAATATTTTTATCTTTTTTTTAATAAATTTTATTAAATTCTTACGACCAGGTTTTAAAATAATCTTTTATTTATTTTTATTCTTTATTATAAATTTAGAAATAATAGTTATTACTTAGAAGAAGCATGAAAAAAATTATAATTTTTTGGAAATTATTTTTTTAAATAATAATAATAATAATTTTTTTTTTTGCCACAAAAAATCACCAAGGTATGAAAAAAAAATTTAATTTCATTTTAGCTTCTTAGAAATATTAAAAAATAATTATAGAATTTACTGAAAATTGTAGTAGCTTTTGAATAAATTTTACAGATTTTTATCAAAAGATATAAATTTATAATAAATTAATCACTTCTTTATATGAATTATTTTAGCATTAACAATGATATTCAAAACAAAAAGCTCAAAATAAAACCCTAACCATTAGATTGGTATGTTAGGAAGAACATGAAAGCGTTGAATTTACTTTTATGATTTGAATTGTTAAAAAATATAATTTCAAGTATAATCTATTATTAAGAATAAGTAAAATAATTAAATCATATTTTTATGAAATAATAATATTTTATCAATTAATTATGTTATTTTCACCTGTAAGAAATGTCAACAACTTGACAATTAAAATATTCAATAAATAATAATTAATTTCTAAAACAATATTTTTTCTTAGGTTATGGAAACCATATGATCCACATCATGATAAATGAAATGCATTATACAGATTTCAAACTCCTCAAAAATTATTTCCTGTACATATTTATTAGTAACAATCAACACATCCTCTTGCTAAACCTTAATACAAAAAGCATTTTCACCACCACATACAATGCTTTAGAAATGTCAGCATTGGTCCATAAATCACAACAAAATAAATCAAACATAACATGAAAGAATTCTTTCATCTTCTCTCGAAAATCCATGTCAAAAGATATTTCATTTGTGCAACACGGAAGCATGGCCTCGGAAATCTTGCCAGCTCTAAAGGCACGGTCGTAGGTACTCGAGTCCAGAACGTATGACCGCGAACACATGCAGAATGTCCACCGTCCACAAACACGCCTCGAAATCGTCGCCGTCCGTTACCTTCAATAGTCGTCTCGGGATCAGCACTGGGGTGAGCAACAGAACACAATCGATGAGACTGATTATTTTTATTGGCGGTGAAGGAATCACACTTTTTTTCACCTAATGTACAAAGTGAGCACCCATTTTCTGTTTCTCTGCCTTCTTTTCTGTTGAGTTTTTCGCCATTTTGTGATACTGGACCCATGGTCTTGAGCTTTAGCATCGACTCCTGCACGGCGTGCTTGTTCTGTTTTCTGCGTGAGATACATGAAGCTGCAAATTACTTGTTGCAACTATGATCTGGGATGTTGTAAGAACACTTCGAGACTCTTGTGAACCAAATTTGATCGGCATCGTAGGAACCAGCGATGGCACGCGCAACTCGTCACCTGGAGAAGCTGCTCAGAGCGCTTCAGGTACGCATTCAAAGGCCCATTACCACACATATGCCTACTCCAAGCCATCGTCTCTCCCGTTCCTACGAATGGGTGCAGGTTACTGTGCATGACTGGTGAGACAAATCTGGTTATTGCTTTTTAAAAAATATTAGGGTAGTTGGGAGTTTAAGGGATTGGACTTGAATTCGATTGTGCAGACTGACTCGACGCAAGGAGTCTGCCAGGCGCCTTCGAATGACCTTGTTGATCCACCCACATCCGATCAATCACGAGATTGTGTACGTCGTCATTCTCCCTGTCGTGATCTGAGTTCCGTAAGCCAGAAGTACTTTGATCAGTTCGTCCTACGAGTAAGACCATTTCTGTTCATCGTTACAGGGATCGACAGGCGTCCCTGAGAACGAGACTTTGCGACGGTCGCAGGCATCCTTGTTCTCAAGTTCCGAATCTGAGGATGTTTCCACTTCATCTGGTGGCGATGGGACAAGTAAAATTGATTATTTCCCTCCGTCGTTTACGAGAAAAAGTTCTTTGGGTTGGGCATGTTGTTTATTTTGAGAAAACGAGCAATCATGTAAACAATGCTGGCGTCGTTGCGAGAGATTTGGTTTATGGTCTATAGAGGTCATTCTCGCAGGGTATTATCGTGAGGAAACTGCAAGGTTGGTGCAGCAGCTGGGGGACAGCCGCGTCCAAGTGGCAACTCTGGAAGCCCAAATCGTGTTTCTTACGAATAAATTGGAAGAACAGGAGACTCTGGACTCTTGTTACATTCGCAGGTAAGATATCGAGATCGCCATTTGTTAGGGTTCGTAGAACACTACACCATGGGAAGCCTTTGTGATCAATGTTCGTCATCCGAAGAGTCAAGATTATTATTCTTAATTGAATTTCTGATTGTTGAGTTTCAGATTGGAAGACGAGGTGGTTCGATTGGAAGAGACGGTTAAGATTGATATGTACAATTTAGAACGACGTCAAAGTCAGGTATGAAATAAGCAGTAGAACAGTGCTTATAAACCACTTCTCGACATCACCTCCCCATGTTCTCATTCTTACAGTTGAAATCACCGAAAACAGTTCTTAATAATGAGGTTTAGCAATTGATTCATCGCTGTTGAAATTAGTTCAAGTATTCGAGGACGTGATTACTTTCATTCTTACATGTAAAAGTATCCACGTGAGACTGGTGCAGATTGAGAAAGGAATGCCTTCGTTGGAGGAGCAATTAAAAACAATCAAGGACTCTCTTCATGACTTTAACGTCTCTGAGCCGTTGTATGAGCTAAATTGAATCTTTGGCCTCTGATTTTTATGTAATTTTTGTAAATATTTAGGACCTACAGAAAACTTTTCCAGTGTAGAGGAAAATGTTTCTAATAGACTATCATTCGAAGCAGGTACATGGAGCTTAAGGCCATTCCAGAGCACCGAAAGAATTCGAGAGAGCATATTCTGATCATGGCATATGAGAAGTGTCTACGTGACCGGGAAGAAATAGAGGAGCTCCGGAAGACGCGAGACACTTCCAGGTATGTCCTGCGTAATTAATCTCATTCGGTGTGTGCGGTGCTTTGACTGTAGAGCCTTCAGGTTTGAAAAATTTAGAAAGAAATCCAACACTATTTTTTTATTGCAAGTCTTTCCCTTTCTGCTGGGGTGGTCTCGAAAAAATGAGAATGAATTATGCAACGCAGGAACTTACGGGCATGGGTACTTAAAATAACTTCAGACGGGGGCATACACCGAGTGTGTTGATTATTAGGACGACGCACAGCTGAACCAACACAATGCAGGGAGGCTTTGACACGAGCAAATGATGAAGTGCAGAGGCTAACGCGTGAGTTGCAAAGAGATGCTGCAAATCATGCCACTGAACGCCGTGATTATGAGCTAGATTTGTGTGCCAATGCTGCACGATTGGAGCGTCTGGAAGCCGAGCATCGCGACTCTCTTGTGCAGATTGAGGTTTTGAATGCTAAAGGTGCTTTGTTTGATGAGGTATAGATTGCTTAAAAATATTACCAACCTTTCATTGTGGTGTTGATATCCGGTAGCGGCTCAGGTGTTGTGGAACCAATTTTTTTTTTTAAATCAATCAATCAATCTGGAGGCTCAAGTGAGGGGGTTTGTGGCAGGTGCAAGCCAAATTGGAGAATCTGGAACGAAGTAACCTTGGTGAAGAGAACCAGAGGGAAGTAATGACAGCAGCTCTGCAAGTAGCCATTCAAGAGAAGGAAAGAATACTTGATTCCATGAAGGAGAAAGAGCACACCTTGGATCTACTGAGCATGGATAAAGTCAGTTCCTACCCAGTCTCTTGAAAACATTGTCATGTGTCCCAAGAGAAAAGGTGGTTCTAGTACTGATGTTATTTCCTTTCTTCTAACAGATATATTTGAGTAAAGAGATCCAGCGCCAGGCAGAGCAAATTAAAAAATCAGAGACTGAACTGGAGAGGCAGCAAGAGAAATTGCGAGAAGTCAAGCGCTCCCGCTCAGAGCTATACAACAAGTTTCTCGTGGAAAAGGACTCTCAACTTGCTATTAAACAGCGTCTTCAGGTCATCTTCAGGTTCATAAGGAGATTGGTTGACATGGCAGAGTAGGACATAATCATGTCCTATTTATTACTAAACTTGTTAACAAAATTGAATCCTATAAAGGCGTGGACTGGTGTGTGTACTGGTATACTTTGGGGAGTCTTTTCATTAAAAAACTCATGACCTGCATATGCTATTTTCAGGCTGAGATTGCGCGAATAGAAGAGGGGAAGAATCAAGAAGTTGAACAAATCCGCAAGGAGGCCAAGGCGACTGCTGATGAAAAAGTTCGGTGTGTAGCATTGTCTCATTTTTGGATTGATTGGAGTGATTCTGCAGGTGTTATCTTCAGAAGATGAATTTTATAAGAATTTTTGTGAAATTCACCGATTTGATGCCCAACATAAATGAATGGAAGTGACACTGCCTATGTAGTTAAAATGATAATTTGTGCCTGAGGAAGTGAGGTTTTCGAATGTTTCTATCTTGTGCAACCAGTGTTTACTTGACTATTGATCCACTTGGATGACATTCACAGGACATTTCGAGAAATGAGAGATGAAGCAATGACGGCCACTGAGATGTGCCGTTCTGAATTGCGAGATAGTAAAGCAGCTTATGATGAGCTTCTTTTGAAGTAAGTTTCTGCATATCCTTCTACAGGATGATAAACTCTCTTTCATTTTCTTCATACGCGATTTAACATATTACTCATCATTTCCCCCCAAAGTCTTCAGCCATGCTTCATTTGAAATGGTCGAAATTCCCTTTTTGCAGGTTTCGAGAGCTTCACAGAGTATCAGAGTTAAAGGAGACGGAAAGTCGTGGCAATTTGAAAGTGGCAAATTTTGAGCTGGACCGTCTGAAAGTTCTTCTTGAAGAGACGAAGGATGCCCTTGTTCAGATAAAACTCGAGAACGAGACCTGGGCAGCTAAAATTCAGGTTTCCCAATCTTGACACCACCACTTCTAGTCGACGCGAATTATGCACAGATCATGCAATACTTGTACAGTTCAACACTCCATATTGAACCGCCGACCAACAAAAAAAAAATCCTGAAACGGCTCTCTGACCATAGACATGCGGCATTTTGCAATTTTTTTCTTGGCAGATCATCAAGCAAGTTTTTTGAAATCACCCTTTTATTGCAAACTTGTGGTTCACAAACTGTTATCATCATGTCTCTTAGATTCTCAAAGAGAAGGTTAAAGAAGAAAAGAACGGACCTCTGGAGGAACTCAAGTATGAGCTTGAGAAGCAAGTTTCTGAGCTAAAGGAGGAGTTGCGGTGTACTCGAGCCCAACTTGTGGTTTATCAGGAGGAGAAGAATGACCAAGTAGAGGCTTATAAGAAGGAGAAGGACGCTAAATGTGAGGCCTGTCAGAGTAGGAAAGATGCTCAACTTGATATTAATCAGATCGGGAGAATTTCTCAACCCCACGTCCCTGACAAAGAGGAGGAGGCTATGTCTTCATCTCCAAGGTATCAATGTCTTGAAGGTAAGTCCAGCATGAAGTGTTCATCGGTCTCAAGGAAACAGATCAATGAAGAAGACCTGCCCGAGTCTTTGTGGATCCCAATCCAAGAGGAGAAGAAAGCTAAGCACTCATCGGCATCGAGGTACGAGGATTGTAAAGAGAGCGAGAAGCCCATGTCCGTCTCGATCTCACTGCTCAAGAGTTGTGAGGCCGCGAAGGAAAAGCTCTTCTCAGCCTCGAAAATCAAAGCTACTGAAAGTCATGAGGCCAAGTCACGAGGACTCTTCCAACAAAATCAGCAATTAGAAGAACAACTCAGGTAATTAGCTAGCCAACAGTACAAACTTTGAAGTGCACTGCCTCGTATGGCAGTTTATGACTTTAGCATGCACAATCATCAAGGCTGTACTTACGATGGTATTACACATGATGTCTCGCACCACTAGACAATGACACTGAAGCTTACATAACGAGATCGAATCTGTCCATCCTTTTTGTACTATGACTTGTATGGATAGTATTTTCATTTTCACGGATGAGATTTTAATTTTTGTTTTGAAACAAAAACCAGGGCTGTCACTGAGGAGAAAAATAGGGTTACGAACCGTTTGCAATCAGTACAAGACGACATCAGGAAACTGCTGCGCGCACGGGGTTCTGTGGAGCAGCTTCAAAGCATGCTGAAAGAGAAGGGAGTGTTTACAGGTGCTGGGTATCAGTGGAAAACTATCACCTCTTCAGAAAGTAGTCTAAAAGCTGTCAAGAAGGCATCACCCAAGATATCACCCTAGATCTGTTATTTGGATCGTAGTGCAACTCCCATCTAGGAGAATACCCAGGTCCAATCCATGGCGTTGCATGCTCGTCTTCTGAGGCCAGATTGAACACGTCGGATTGGCTCGTCACACTGTCAATCTGAAATCGTCCATTCACTGGACATATCAATCAGTCAAGGCAGAATGCAAATCTGAACATCATTGATGGTTCTCTTTATGAAAGTGTCATTCTGACGAGAGGTTTTCATTACTGAAAAAGTGGAAGAGATGGCATGACATGTTGAAATGCGTCATTCCGAGTTTGGGGTTCAGGGTTTACAATGTGCAACTTCATGATCGTAACCAATTCAATCCTTCATGACCAGATTTAAGAAGACAAACTCAATCTTTCAGCTGCATTAAATCGCTTTTTTTGATCTTACTTACTAATTAAACTACTTGAAAAAAATGTAAAACAGCCGACAGTTTTTGTGTCAACGAAATCATTCCAATTTTTGTTGACAAATAGCAGGCTCAGTTAGACTTCCTGATCTTTCCTTAGAAAGAGACTCTTATTTTGCGATAGTAGATGGATCTATGAAGCCAAACTGTTCCGGAATTTTTGCATTGAGCTACACGATACTTGCATGCTTTTCATCGAAAATCAGTCCCCATGAATGAAGAAGATACGCAATACCTGCTTGGTTCCGACCACAGAATTAGGCCCCTCTGGAAGGATGTGTTTTTTTCCGAGCGAAGGCTTCTGTTAGGCTCAAAAGACAGACAAACGACAGACGGTGTCGTGTGCCCATGGTCACCAAGTGATGTTTCTCTCTCTCTCTCTCTCTCGCTCGACTCTGGAGTTCCTGGTCGCCTTGCGTTGTTGCACTAGGCCTCCACCAACTGACTCGGCCACTCATTGCTTGTCACCGGAACTTCAAACAGTTCCGTGCTCGCATGCAGCAGGTTGTGACAAAGTCATTGTGGCCCCTGTCGCCACGCCATATCATATGCGCAACAACTCCAGCTTGGAAGACAAAGTGGGCACAGCAGGTATGATGGATGAGTTGGTCTGGACAGACTGCCATTTGCAGCATGTCGCGTCTTCGACTGCGTCACAATCTGAGCATGAGACTGGATCAGGCAGAGTCCACAGACTCACTGCATCAGAGACACCAAATAAGAGAAGAGTGCAGCAGCTGCTCCTATATTTGATTCTCCCACACACCCCCCATTCTCCTTTCTACTTTTCAGAAACTGGATGTTGAACAAATATTCGTCATCACAGCTCTTATCAAACAAGTTTGCTGATCTGGGTTGCTGGAATGAGGAGGGAAAGAGAAACTAGAATTATTGAGATGATGAATGAGTGAAGTGAGCTTTTGACTTCTTCAACTATCCTCTGCTTGGCATGATTGAACACCAATTTTTTTGTGGGATGGCGTTTGTGATGGTAAATCTCATTAAAATGTCTTGAGATTGTTAAGAAGGAATGTAGGCAGCCGAAGAATCTATGGCATTAGAAAAAGTAATGTTGTCTTTTCTACTGTGGAAGTTGGGTTTTCTTCTCGTTCGTTTATCCTTACAAAGTGTGTACAGGAATCAACGTCAGGATAGGCATGAAATTGTTTCACAATATTCTTTTAGAATATGATTTTTTTGATTAAATAGTAATTATATTTTTAAAAATTAAGGGCCGTCTTTGCGTGAAGGAGAGAAGGTTAGAGGTATAATATTTAAATCCTTTGATTGGGTCAAATTGAGAAGTCTTGCTTATTTGGTTTTATGCTTAGAAAAATTAGTCTAAAGTTCCTTGAAATGAAGAGGTAGAGTGTATTTTTTTTTTCATAGCATGAATAGTATTGTCCATGGGGATATATTCATCTCTAGAAGTGATTTTCACAAAAAGTTAAAAATATATGTCAAAAATTGCATTAATTTACACATGTTGAAAGAAAGAACTCTTTAAGTAGTTGCTAATGGTCAATAGAGTACAAGTGTTGTTAGGGATATCCCATAAGGTTAGGTGCTGGTCTATAGTGCATTAGAGTACAAGGAGAGGGCTGGTCCTAGGAGATATCCCATATGGGTTGTAGTACTTGGTACCTTGGTACTAGTATATAAGGAAAGGGTTGGCATAGGAAGAATTATCTCATACCACATTCTATTTGTTAAAGTGCAACCTTGTTGGTCCTAACTTACTTCTGTGGAGTATGCTTTCTATGTTTCAATAGATTATGGGCCCACATCCTCTTACCAAGTAAATTGTTCTTGCATTATTTCTTTGTTGCTTGTTTTGGTGGTTGAGATCTTATGGTAGAGTGTTGCTAGTGAATTGTTGAAGTCATTGCTCCTGGATTTGTGAGTGTATGAGCTTAGTGCAAGACCTTGATAGTGTCTTTGCTGAAAGAGCACTAGTATTTGAGAGTTTTATGAGAAAGTGAGTCATTTTGAGTGAAGTGACGTGAGAGAGACGTTTGTAAGTCATAAAATCACATTAAAAACCATTCCCCACCATTTAGACGTAATTTGGACTCAAGATATGCAAAAAGTTACAAAACAGCGAATTTTGGGTTTGTAGTTCAGCAATCTTTAAATAGTCATATCTTTTGCATTACAACTCCAAATCAAGATTTTTTTAGACCTACTTGTATCTTGAGATGGCATCTTTTGAGGGTGATAGCTTAAGAGTTGTTGAAAAATTTAGAGGTGACAATTTTCACCACTGGAAGGCCAAAATGGAGCTACTTTTGGTGTCATTGGATCTTTCGGAGATAGTAGATGAGGAGGAACTTGCACCTGGGGTAGAGACAAGCATCAAGGAGCAAAAGGACTTCAAAAGATGAGAGAAGAAGGCTTTTGGCATAATTGCCACCAATTTAGATGAAAGCAACTTTGTTCATGTCATTTCTTGTAAAGGGGCAGCAGATGCATGGAAGACTCTTTACAATGTCTATGAAAGTAGGAATCTCTCCAATGTGCTATGGTCAAGGCAAAAATTCTTCACCGTGAAGATGGAAGAAGGTGAAGATCTCATAGCTCATGTGAATAAGGTAAAAGTACTTGCAAACTAACTTGCTCTTGTTGACAAGCCTTTACTTGAAGAAGATGTTGTGATGACATTGCTCTCAAGCCTTCCAAACTCCTATTCCTCCTTCATTGTAGCATTGGAGTTCATTTCAAAGAAAGACCTCACTTTGAACTATGTCACGACAAGACTAGCCCAGGAAGTGACCAAAAGAAAGCAAAAGGAGTCTATTGGGGAGCAATCAGTACTATTTACAAGACCAAGTAAGGCAAGTGTCCCTTTTCAACGTTATCCTCCTAAAACTTGTTACATTTGTGGAAAACCAGGTCATTTTGCAAGAAATTGTTTCAAGGCAAAGAGAAGAGAAAGAGAGAATGCCAACAATGCTTTTCATGACCATGGAGGTGAAGACTTTGCATTCATGGCAAAACAAACTCCTTCCATGCTTGATATGAGCAAATGGATTGTGAATTCCGGATATACCAAACACATGACTCCATACAAGTATTCATTTAACACTTATCAACCAATTTCAGCAACCAAGGTTTGGTTAGGTGATAATGGTATGGTATAAGCCATTGGAATGGGCACCATTGTAGTGGAGGTAGTGGTGAAGGGCATAAGCAAGAGAATCACTTTCGAGGATGTGTTGCATGTCCCAAAGATGAAGAAGAACCTCCTTTCGGTGAGTAAACTTGTAACTCATGGATGCAAAGTACAATTTAACATGAATGGATGTTTTGTGAGAACCATTGAAGGCAAAGAAGTAGCAAAAAGGACTAGGGATGGCAATTTCTATATTATCAATTGCAAGAGGATCAATGGAGTAGAGGTTGCTACCTTTGCTGAATTTCCATCAAATGAAGACAAGGTGGGCATTTGGCATCAAAGACTTAGGCATTTGAATGCCAAAAGCATGAAGGAGCTTCAATCCATGGTAAGTGGCTTAGACCTTGGCCATTCTACTATGAATCTTCCTTGTGAGGGATGCATTCAAGGCAAACAACATAAGACACCATTTCCTAGTGGAGTTGCAACAAGAGCAAACCAATTGCTGGAGCTTGTGCATTCGGATGTTTGTAGAGCCATGAGGACACCATCTATGAGTGGAGTAAGGTACTTTGTCACATTTATTGATGACTTCTCAAGGAAGGTATGGATTTACATCATCAAGGCCAAGAGTGAGTGTTTTGCCAAGTTTAAGGAATGGAAAGTACTTGTGGAGAAGCAATGTGAGCATAAGATTAAGGTGCTGCGATCAGACAATGGAGGTGAGTATTTGTCCAAAAACTTTGATGAGTTATTGAAGCATGAAGGCATTGCAAAACAAACCTCCACTCCCTACACTCCATAACAAAATGGAGTTGCTAAAAGAGCAAATCGTACCATTGTGGAGATGGCAAGGAGTATGATTCATGCTCAAAAACCTGGGTATGAGTATTGGGCGGAAGCTGTGGTAAATGCCGTGTATATAAGAAATACGTGTCTCACAAGTGCACTTGAAGGAATGACTCCCCAAGAAGCTTGGACTGGTAACAAACCTTGCATATCCCACATGAGGATTTTTGGGTGCATTACATATGTCAAGGTTCCAGATAGTATGAGAGGCAAACTTGATGCAAAGGGCACAAGATGTGTATTCCTTGGTTATTGTGAAGGTACCAAGGCATATAGGCTCATGTGTTTAGATATCAAAAAGATCATCAAAAGTCGTGATGTAGAGTTCTTGGAGCATAAAAGTGGTAGTGAAAAGTGGGAGATGTGTCCAAGTGGGAGTAGTGGTGTGTTTGTGGACACATCTTCAATTCCAGCAAATAAACAAGAAGATGAAGAAGAGCATTCTCAAAGTGAAGAAGGAGAAGAAGATGCCATGATAGAAAAGCCCAATACTATGAAGACTTCAATTCCAACAAGATACAACAAGGACAATGAAGAGAATGAAGTTTAAGAATACCAACCAATGAGTAAGAGAAAGAACTCCATGAGCCATACAAGGCAGCAAGAGGTACATGAAGGCTCATCCTCTTTGCATGAAAGAAGATATCCAATACGTGAGAGAAGACCACAAGGTGAATGGTGGAAGAATCACATCTTTCCATAAGTAAGTGAAGACCATGTCAATGTTGCTCTTCTTGATGATCCATTGACTTTGTGTGATGCAATGAGGTGTGGTGATGCAATGAAGTGGGAGATTGCCATGCAAAAAGAAT